TCTCTTCCCCCCCCCCCCCCCCCCCCCATGGCACCCCCAGCCTATTTTAAATTGCAAAAGCCAATAGCAGGTTGGCTATTGCACCCACACACTGAGCAGAGGAGCGTAACTGAGAGACAACTTTCTCTGTGGGCGGAGCTAGGGGTGGCTATTCGCTGATAGGGCTATCAATGGTGCCAGCAGCTAAGCAGAAGCAACAGTAAAAAGGGTGACTACGCTTCAGTGATTTCACTGAAGAAGGAAAAGTGTTGTCACGCTATCAAAGGAAGTGCCTGTCCAAGGGTTTAACTGGCAGGATCAACAGGTATCTACAAAAAGGTTCCTGGGGAATTTAGAAAAACAGGTATGGGCAGACTACCTCACATATGCTGTTGTATGGTTTGACCACAAGCAGTAACCTACAACACTCTATTTCAGGGGTGCTCATCTCCCGTTTTTCAGCTGTTGTGGAACTACAAGTCCCATGAGGCACTGCAAGACTGACAGTTACAGACATGACTCCCAGAGGCACGTTGGGATTTGTAGCAGAGGTCTAGGGGACTCGTATAAAGCAGATATACTCACCTGATCCTCAGTCCCCCCTCCTCTCTATTTGCTTTGCTTGGCCTAATATAAGGCAAGCCATAACCTGATTGGCTGCCGCTTCCGCTTTCAGCATCCTCATCTCCAGATCTCTGCTGCACGAGACTGGGGGGGGCGGGACGTGCAATCCGGGGATCGGCGAGGGATTGCGTGAGAGCGCGGCGTCTCCTCCACCGGTGAAGTTGTTGAACAGAAGCCACCAAGTTATGCGGCATCTGTATATACTGTGATAAGATCCGGACGTCGCAGAAGGGAGGCGAGCCGAGGCGGTACGGCCAACGCGAAGGGTCAGGACCGAAATTTCACCTTCATGGGAGACGTCAGGGCCAAGAACCTCCCCTGTAAATAAAGACTCTCCGGGCAAAGTCTCCCATTTCTACCTGCTCCGTCCACCATTAACCGAATCATCCGGATTGTGTTGTCTCCTGAACCAGGGCCGTCCTTATAATGAAGCTGCCTGTGGCTGTTGCCTCAGGGGGCAACTCTTTGGGTCACGTAGAGGGGCGGCATGCAAAGGGGCATGGCCGCTCTGCTACACAATGTTTGCAGTGTGTCCGCTGCCCCCTTTCCGGCCAGATCGTCCCAGGTTGCTAAGAGCCGGGTGGGGAGATGTGTACGGGTCACACTCTTCTCCCTGCTCAGCTCTGGCCGGCGTCCCATCTGGCTCCTGGCAACCAGTGACAACACTGGTTGCCAGGAGCTGGGTGGGACGCCAAGCTGGGCAGGGAGATGCTGAACCTGCTGAGGATGGCGTCACTTGCCCACCAGTCCCCTCCACCCCACAGCAACCTCAAGCAGCAAAAGACTGGGAAACAAAAAATTGGAGACGGAAGCGTCACTACCTGGCGCAATAAATGTGGTAGAGCGGGGTGTAAGCGTTGGTGATGTACTCACCTAAGGCTGGGTGAGCATTCGCTTGTAATCGGCGGATTGCGGTGAAGCGGATGGGGTGGAGTAGTGGTGGGGGTGATCCCTCTTTTCCAGGGTGGCGTAGCGATTAAACCCAATAAGGCAGATGGAGACACAAAAGCGAGGGGGTGAGGTATGCAGTGGTGGGTGAAGAAGAGGTGGGCTTCTGTAACTCACCGTGGGGATACTGAAGGGCGACTCTCAGCGATGACGGTGCGGCCAGAGTTGTGCCTGGGCGGTGGGCCGTGGGGTGGTCCTCAGGACGGTTGCTGGCACAGGTGTCCTCTGATGGCAGGTGCTGTGAAGAGGTGGAGCGACGTGGTGTCCAGGATGGGGGGACTGGAGAGCGATGGAGGCGCCGGAGTGACAGAGTGTTCAGCAAAAGGCTGGGGACACCCCTGTCCTGGATGACCGAGTGCTGGTGGCCAGCGTCCCACTTAGCTCCTGGCAACCAGTGACATCACTGGTTGCCAGGAGCTGGGTGGGACGCCAAGCTGGGCAGGGAGATGCTGAACCTGCAGAGGATGGCGCCACTTGCCCACCAGTCCCCTCCACCCCACAGCAACCTCAGGCAGCAAAAAGACTAGGAACACCTCTGTCCTGGATGACCGAGTGCTGGTGGCCAGCGTCCCACTTAGCTCCTGGCAACCAGTGACATCACTGGTTGCCAGGAGCTGGGTGGGACGCCAAGCTGGGCAGGGAGATGCTGAACCTGCAGAGGATGGCGCCACTTGCCCACCAGTCCCCTCCACCCCACAGCAACCTCAGGCAGCAAAAAGACTAGGAACACCTCTGTCCTGGATGACCGAGTGCTGGTGGCCAGCGTCCCACTTAGCTCCTGGCAACCAGTGACATCACTGGTTGCCAGGAGCTGGGTGGGACGCCAAGCTGGGCAGGGAGATACTGAACTTGCAGAGGATGGCGTCACTTACCCACCAATCCCCTCAACCCCACAGCAACCTCAGGCAGCAAAAGGCTGGGGACACCCCTGTCCTGGATGACCGAGTGCTGGTGGCTTATCATGTTCCTTGACCTGCAATGCAGCACCATCTGCAGTTGTCACAACCAGCACTACCCTACTTTGGTTGCAGCGCTGTATGATGTGTCATCTACATCCATGCACCCTAAACATAAGGGGGAACTCGGAGGAGCTCCCCTCCATGTGGCATAGTTCTTTTTTGCTAATGTTGGGCACTTTTTGGCCGCCCCGTCTGCCTCGTCTGTGGTTTCCCATGCAGGACCATTGCAGGATGTTGGAAATGTACGAGTGTGATGGCAGTGTGCTATTGCTGTGATTTAGTTAATGGGGGATTATGGGGGGAGGGGAGGGAGTGACAGTCATGGCGGTTCAGCAGCTTTATCCTTCTGCAGGATGAGGTGTGACTGTCATTTCTGCTAAAACACAGTGATGGGTATAATGAAGATTTGTGTGGCCCCTGACATGCCGGCTCTCTGTACGTGTCTTGCTGTAGGAGGCCCTGCCACTCTCTCATTACCAGATCTCTGTACCAGACTATCCCACAGAGAATGTTCTAATAGAGCGTCCCCCTGAAAGGAGGAGGAGGAAGAGTGGCAGCTTATGAAGACTCCATTACTGACATCTTATATTATATTTAAAGTGAAGTGTAATGTGCTGGGATAAAGCGGGCCCCACACGTGGAGCAGAGGAGGCACTGTGACTTTAATGGTGGGCTGCCTTACAGTGGGAAAATAATAGAGGCACACCATGGGATTAGAAGGATGTACCCAGATCCAGGGCTCAGTGGGCACTGCTAGGATGTGTACAGACCCCGGGGACACTGCTAGGATGTGTACAGACCCCGGGGACACTGCTAGGATGTGTACAGACCCCGGGGACACTGCTAGGATGTGTACAGACCCCGGGGACACTGCTAGGATGTGTACCGACCCCGGGGACACTGCTAGGATGTGTACAGACCCCGGTGACACTGCTTGGATGTGTACAGACCCCGGGGCACCGCTAGGATGTGTACAGACCCCGGGGCGCTCCAGGCACAACTAGGAAGTGTGATCTGGTACATGAATAAACAGTAACAGATTTCCGCCTTTACAATCTCCGGGCATTGTACCAACACAGCAGACGAGTCACTTAGTGCACCCAGCAGAAACAAATGACACATCCTGGCAACACCAAATTATATTACAGTGACAGCATTATACATCACCCCACACCGGTATAATACATCACTCCTTACTGGTCTATGATACCCCCCAGCACCGGTATATGATACGACCCACCACC